CCATCATGTGGAGAAAAGGGTCCTTCTCATGCTGGTGGTATATAAATTGTTACACACTTTCATGTGCCTTAAACATATCCTCTGACTTGGTAAGACTACCTAAAGGATTTTATAAAGATGTTTAATGTAACACTGCTTTTAATGGCAAAACATTTGGAACCATCTAATATCCAAAAGCAGGAGCATCATTAAATCATTCAGGGAATGTATTGGGGGTGCTAACTATGTTGTTTGTATACATACAATAACATACTATTTCATGTAGAAAATGTGTATAACATTAAGTGCAGGAAAAAGCAGATTGCAAAATAATTGTGCTTCCCCCCAAATTATCTGTGTGTTCAAGTGTTGCTAAAATTATCTTAGCATAATTATTTTCAAGTTTAAAAAAATTTTAAAACATCCACAGGCTCTCCCTTTCCTTTCTCTTACCACCTTACTTATTACACGAATCACACTAACCAATTAATTCAGTTTGGATTTAACATTTATGCATGACTTGGCAAATTCTACACAATTCCTGCCATTTACTTCCATCTTATTTTAAAAGTTGGATAATATGAAATCAATTATTATAAAACATTTCACGAATTGAAAACACAAGGAATTGGGGATAAAAAGATGTTTCAATATGAACAGGAATTATTGGTTCTTCCAAAAAAAAAAAAAAAGAAATAATCTCTTAGTATGAAGAAAAAAAGACAATTGCATTTTTCACATAGAAAAAAAAACAAATCTATGAAATACAATCATAAAAAAACTCTAAAAAGTACTAGGAACCATTTCAAGAGCTCTTCATAAGCTTCTAAAGGTAAACTCCCAATCTTACTTATCTAGAACTAGCGGAACACCTGCCAGGTCCAATGCACTCAGTTAGGTGTCCAAACATGATCTAATTACTTAATGCTCCACAATGGCCCATTTTCCAAGTTAAGAAACTATGTTTCAAATGGATAAAGTATCTCATTCTAAGGCACACTATTCCTAGGAATTCTCATCCATCACTGCCTGATTCTGTGACTCATTATTCCACGGGCCAGAGCAAGCAACCCGAGACTCTACATGTCTTCCAGGGGAGGGCATGAGACGGTCGACTTCTTACCCTTGAGACAGCTGCTAGCACAGGCTTGTGCAAAGTAAAGGGGCAATAATACATGCTTGTCAATATCATAGACCTTCTCGTTTGTTGTATTCTATCAATTTAGGATTTTCTTCCAGATAAATTATTTCTTTAGGAGCAACAGTCTTGTTTTTATAGACCTAAAAATATAGTTTAATAACTAAATCAAATTTTTTTAATGAAATTCTCTGCAAAAAAATTAGGGTTGAGTAAAGGAAACAAAGTATACACAGATCAGTAAGTTACTGTGAAAAAAAAAGAGTAGAACGAAAGTTTTAAGTAGTCAAAGCCCTAAATTATTTGGCTATTATGGTTCATAATCACTTTCAGAATGGTGTATAGGCCTGGTCTAATGGTCTCATACTTGACCAGTGGTTCTCACTGTAAGGTTATTTTGTCCCTCAGACAGCTTCCTCCCCCAGGCGATGTCTGGAGACTTTCTTGGTTGTCACAACTGGGGAGGTACGACTGGCTTCTCACGGGTAGAGGCCACAGATGCTGCTAAACATCCTATAATGCAAAGGACATCCCCTCAAAGAATTAAACAGCTCAAAATGTCAATAGTGCCAAGGCTGAGAAATCCTATACTAGATGATTAATATAAGGTGAAACTATCTCCTGTCCTCAAGTTTAAATGAGCACCAACAGTGAGAGTAGGAAAAGCCTGGATGCCCCAGGTTCTGGACAAGGCAAATCTCCCAAGCAGACTACTGTCCTCCTCAGGAAGAGAAGTGTGTGATTCTGCAAGCTGCAAGTGAGACAGGGAGGGTTTAAAGTTGACAGGCACCTCATCTTTGGTGAATGTGCACACGTCTCAAGCAGCAGTGTACGGGTGTGCAAGAGGAAACCACCAGCTTTGCTGGATCCACAGTGGTCACATCTTCTGACAATTTCTACCAAGTTAAACAAAACCGTTATTATGTAGTTAGGGAGTTTTGTATCTAAAATTGAAATAACAAGGATTGCAGGGAGAAAAACCCAAACAAAGAGGATAAAGGGCAACTACTGCCTCCCGCCCTCCCCACTTTCTCACTTGGTAGACTGTTCATTCTGTGATGGCACCGTGGAAACCACAGAGCATGTCGTAAGTGAAGAAGGAAATATTTTGGTAGAGTTAATTTCTTAGTAATAATAACAAAAGGGGAAAAAACAAACATGTTTTAAAAATATCAGGAACAACAGAGAGGAATAGTGAAACACATCTGTGAAGTTACGTCAACATCAGAATATTAATCTCCTGTGACAAGGAGTTTTGGCGCACTGGAGGAATCAAAGAGACCGCCAATGAGAATAACGCGCCACATCTGGAAGGTCTACGAGAGGACGGTTTAACCTTGAAAGGGAGCCACTGCTAGGGGAACCTCACTCTGCTCCTGAAACTCCAATGGACGCAGGGATCCAGTAAATAGAAAAGCAAGTAGAAATGCTCCATTTGATGTAGCAAGGGAATCCAGAAATGATCATTCCTCAATCCACAAATGAGGAAAGCATTGCATGCCACATCTTAGCTCCTTAAGGACTTGGTTGAGCCTGAAGTTCGAAAGATTTTCATAAATTGCAAATAAAAACAACCTTCTCTTATTTCTCACTCTGCACTTGAGAGTTCTAGGTGGGAATTAACTATAGAACTGCTCCATCTGTCCCAGTCTTAAACTAAAATGTGGCTTCCTGTAGGGTAGGTAGAAAGGGAAACACATAGAAGAGCAATTAAAACAAAAATTTCCTAACATCTCTACAAAGAAATCCATCATTAACATAGTGAGATATAATACTTCCCAGAAAATGCTTGGCTAATGCATTAGTTTAAGAAAGAAAACTAAGTACATCAGGTTAGCCAAAGACAAAAGTCAGAGAAACTATAAAATACAATATAATGGAATTCAAAAAGTGACCTACTCTAAAAAGGCCACAAGGGGAGCCTGGATGGCTCAGTCAGTGGAGCGTGGGACTTTTGATTTCAGCTCAGGTCTTGATCTCAGGGTCCTGAGATCGAGCCCCGCGCTGCTTGAGATTCTCTACCTTTCCCTCTGCCCCTAACCCACCCCTCTCAAAAAAAATTAAAAAATTAAAAAATTAAAGGCCCACAAAAACCACCCATATAAGAGATCAAAGAGAAGTATTTCAACATTACAGATTTCTTCTGGGTTAGAAAATGACAGTAACATAATAACTACATGTGTGGGATTGCTATACTTATTCTAGAAGAGTCCTTGGTGTGTACAGTTTCATTAAAGATAATAAAATAGGAAAAAGCCCACAATTTCCTTATACTATAAACAATACATCTGCCCAAAGAAAAAGTGATACATATAACAGGTAATTTTTCTGGTAGACCCTGTAAGTCCACATCACCAGCGACATGGCTGAAAAGCTTCAGTGCTTTGTTTTCCTCATCTATAAAATCAGGAGTGGGCCTAAATCTCTAAGGAATTGCTGAGTGTAAAATTTGATTTTAGCATGCTGATTTTAACAGGGCTTCAGAAATTTACATTGTTTCTGTTGAAACATTTTTAAATAATAAAAGACATTCATTTTCTTTTTTATCTCCCCAATATCCTGAAAGTTTCCATGAAACACCGTGGGAGTTGCAGGCATAGGTAGAAAAGTGTAATACGTAAACACAAAAATTATGTTGAATGTCCGTGTTAACACGGGTTTGTATCTAAGACAGGGAACAGATATTGGCAAATTCATTAATTAAAATCCTATTAACTATTTTTCATGTTAAACTATAATTTATTAAAACAGGGCAACTCCCTTAGTGAGAAGTATTCTGGATACTAATCAACCAGAAGGTGTGCTCTTGCTTGGAATTTAATTTTGCTTTATTAACAGTTCACGCTTAAGGAAGTTTGCTGAGTATATTCGTTCTTGGCAGGTGTGTTAGCCAAGAGGTCTGCCCAGATGATAATGTTAATGACTAGGTAGAAAGAGGAAAAATGTGTGAGTTTTACAATTTTGAAAACTAACTGCAAGACCTTTGTAAAGGGGCGCCTGGGTGGCTCAGTTGGTTGGGCGACTGCCTTCGGCTCAGGTCATGATCCTGGAGTCCCGGGATCGAGTCCCGCATCGGGGTCCCTGCTCGGCGGGGAGTCTGCTTCTCCCTCTGACCCTCTTCCCTCTCGTGCTATCTCTCATTCTCTCTCTCTCTCAAATAAATAAATAAAATAATCTTTAAAAAAAAAAAAAGACCTTTGTAAAGACATTTTTATTCTACCACACATACAAAGGAAAACAAAAAAAAATTTCTAAAAACAGTAGCTCCTAATTATTTTCTACTATAAAGATGTCCTTAATGATGTACTGCTAAAAAATTTCTTTGTCATTATTCCTGCTATCCTAGACTCATATAACCAATAACACTTCTTTGGCAATTTAAAAATACAAATCTCTCTAGAGAGTACGGTCCCTCAAACCCACCCACGTGAGCACATGTCACACTTTTCATGCTGCTGAGTCACAGACACTCCCTCCTTAAGGCCAAAACAAACTTTAGTTCCCTAGAATAATAGGCACTTTAAGAATTACACCAATGCCTCTCTCCTGTCCTTAGAGAGGCTCAGATCTGCTCCATGGCATTCTTTTATTCTTAACAGAACTGAACTTCCAACTACCAGCACTTGAGAATATCTCAATCTTCCTTCATTTAAAATTCAACTGTGTAGAACGTTATAAAAGCGTTTCAGCACAGATGACCTCAAATTTGCTAAACTGAAACCACTCATTAGCAGAAAACGACTCAAAAAAATATCCTTCTAGAAATTCTAAAATATACAATTAAGAGAAATGTCTTATTCAAGAATAAGATTAAAGATCTAAAAAAATCGAGGTGCAATTAGAATCTAATGGACCAACATTTCCCATTTGAGCCCACACTTACCTCTCCCGAGGAACAGCAAACCAGTACTCTGGCTGCTTTCTTCGTTTGCCATACTGCTGGACCATGGCTGCACTGTGAGTGGCAAAGGATTTTCTCATCGGCTTTCCTACTTTAATGCACAGAAACATGGGTGGAGTCTTGCTTTTCTCCTCTTTTGAAGGAAGTATATCTGAATCACACATGAAAAAAAACCTTCCTCAATATTGACAATACTGGTGAAAGTAAAACCTTTAACTTATAGAGAAAAAAAACCAATCCCCTCTTAGTGACAGAAAATCAAAACATATGACAAAAACACCATCAAATTAGAACTAATCACATTTTCCAGACCTTCTTTAGCACAAAAGGGAAAAGCTTTGCAAGTTTCAGTTTGTTCTGCATCACATAAAACCAACACAATGTGGCACTTCACAAGAATACATCCCAATGAATGATAGAGGACCCACTTATACCATAAGGCAATTTGGCTTAGAACTGAAATAGCTTCAAAAACATTTCAAACCCCTTTAAATTTAGAAATTCAAGGTGAGAAAAGGAAAGTTCCTTGAAATTAAAAAACAAACTATTTTTGGGGCGCCTGGGTGGCTCAGTCATTACGCATCTGCCTTCGGCTCAGGTCATGATCCCAGGGTCTTGGGGTCGAGCCCCGCATCGGGCTCCCTGCTCGGCCGCAAGCCTGCTTCTCCCTCTCCCACTCCCCCTGCTTGTGTTCCCTCTCTCGCTGTGTCTCTCTGTCAAGTAACTAAAAATCTTTAAAAAAATAAAAAAACAAAACAAACTATTTTTGAACCAGAAATCTATGTCACAGTTCGAGTTCCAAAATAGATACTATATAATGCTAAGGTTTTTTTCCCCAATTAATGTTATCAGCAAAGATAAGCTCTATTGAGAGAACACTGTTCTCAAACAATTGTTCTAATTTCACTTGTACTCACAAGTTTCAGAAAGCCAACTGTACGACAGGACATAAAGATACGAAAGAAAAGTGGCTTACCTTCGATGGGTACCTGAATTCTCTTTAATAGCCACAACTGAATTTCGGACTTATTATCCATTTGTGCCCCTTGGCAGCTGTTGTCCAGGGTAGATTCTGAAGAGGTGTCTAAAGACCCTTTATTCACATTTTCTTCTGTAGAAGAGGCCAGTTGCAATGGGAGGGACACTCTCTCTTTCACCCAAGTTTTATCTGTCTCCTTACTGCCCTCAGTTGGGGGACCGCCTACCTGGGGAAGAGAACTGCTAAGGGTGATATCTATTCCCACTGGCTCAGTACTTTTGCCATCACTTAATTCTGCCTTCGGCAAGTTTTCAGTTAACTGTGACCCTTCTTTGTTCTTATTCAGGTAATATTCAATGAGTTTAACTTTATCTAGATCTTCATGTATGTTCAGTGTGTTTTCCACCTGGCTTTCTGGGGAACCAGACTGCTTGTCCACCTCCGGCATTATATCTTGCTTCTCACGGGTTTCTAAATCTAGGGCCCCCTTCAGTTCAGCGTCATTATCTGTTCCTGAAAAGTTCAGAGCTGATTGCACCTGCATTTCTGTAGTGGAACCGATGATGCGGGACTTAGCCTTCCTTAGCTCTTTTGGGTCAAGAGAAAGGCACTCCTTTGAGGTGTCTCTTTTGTCCATTCCACTATCAGTTTGAGAAGAAAGTTCTTCCAAGTCAACAAAGTCATCATCTTCCCCTAAAAGGGAATTTTCTTTGGCTATAGATTCAAATGCAGCACGAGTGTCAGAAGGTTCCTTGCTGACCTTAGTCACTGTGGCAGATCCACTGGTTGCCTCTGTAGAAGACTCGAGTGTCTTTACCTTTCCTGACTGAGAGCCATCTGAGGGCTTCATGTGCGTGTATTCTGTTGACTTCTCCAAAGGTCTTATGGATTTGGAATCTGAAGTGATGGTTCTCTCCCCATTCTGCTGCCGTTTTTCCTTGTTGAGAGATTTGAACTTACTGAAGGGGTTGATGTCTTTTTCTGAAGCCAGGTCTTCCCATTCTCCAGGCCTGTACAGAGGACAAAGATCCTGAGGTAGGTCACTGTCGGGGGAAAAATGGTGGGTGCACATGGAATGTTAAAAACAAAACCAAAAACAAAATGGAGGAAAGGCAAAAATTAAAACAAAACCCAACCGAAAACTAAAACATAAATATACCACAACTTAAATTTATGTTGAAATGATTTCAGAATAAGGAAATGAAATCAAGAAATTGACTTCAAAATGAAACATAAATAAGCCACAAGAAGGGGTAAAACAAAGAATATCTTACTAGAAGGACATGAATGATTTTTGAAGTTGTTTATGAACATGGAGCTATCACCCACCAGATTTTTAATGATGAAACAATGTTTCTGATATTCATGAAGGAAAGGACAAAGAAAAGGAAATGTTTTACTACTATGACCTAAATTCTTTAAATATTCAAATCTGTTCCTTTTTATAAAATAGTATATAAACCAATTGCATTAATTCTGAATGGCTCATTGACTATCTACTCATTTAACTGCTGTACAAATTACTAGCCCTGAACCCTAATTTTGAGCCTCAGCACTTTGGACCTAAGGTTTCCAATAACAGACATCCTTCTACTCCTGAGGGAGATATAAGAATCTTCCACTATTATTGTGAATATATAGCACCTGCTCCATTTTACACTTTAAAATTTACAGAAAAGTAAATCAAGTAAGTTCTTAAAATACTTAGGTTAAAATTCTTAATTTCTTGACAATGGGTGGTGGTTTATCAGCGGAAACATACTGCCCCTTAACAACAGATGCTTTTCTACCCAGATCTGAATTATACAAAATATTGATTAGACATGTTCTCCAAAGTTTAAATAAATGGTCAAGAAACATAATTTTTAAGCCACGACTGGCAAGATTTTGAGTAACCTGTATTTTCACTTACCTTAGTATTGATACTGGGTTAAAACACAGATATATAAAGACCCTTTATAAAAATAACATTTTTAGATTTCAGAAATAACTTTGTTTTCTAAAAAGGCTAGATCATGTTCAGGTAATACTTTATTATTCTGGCTTTGAAATTACTAGGGCAAGAAAGCCACAAAGTACCAGGAAGTTCTCAAGTTATAAGACTATCTCCCCAAACTTATTTTATAAATCACATGCATGAAACATCCATGCTTTTTCCAATAGTAGCCTACATAATTGTTAGGCTCTGACAGACGCTTGAAAAAACTTCTTTAATTCATAATTCATTTCAATTCAAGACACATGTGTTGAGCCCCTCCATGCCATATGCTAAATGATTTTGACAGTGTCTCTGTTCTGCAGGAACCTGCATGCACAAAAATGTCCTACCCAACTCTAGCATCCCAGGAGACATGAAAGAGTCAAATAAACTAGTGTCATGTGTCCCACTTTTAGGACCCCACATTTAACTTGGCATCTTAAAGGTTATAAGAAGTCTTACAACAAAGAAACTCGGCTCTTCACATACTTGGTTAATAAGCAAAACTTTCTTCCATGAACATCCAAGACCCCTTCCCATCTCTTCCTTCTTTGCTTAGTTGACTCCCACAAACAGATGTGACTGCGCTCTGCTGAGCCCCCTATATGACCCTGTCTAATCCTCCCTTCTTGTTCATCTACCTAGTCCAAGTGGGGAGTTATTTAACTGTTTTTTTGCGCTGCAGCTGCCAAGCACTGCTGGGGCAAAGTACACAGTGGAGTCAACTGGCACAACCGTTAATGTTTTCTAGACTCAGCCAGGCACCTAACACTGATCAGTAATCCCTCCATTTGTTCCCTTCCTGTTCTCCGTCTGGGGCAGCTGGACTTATGAAATGTCCCACACAGGGAATACGAAGCGTGAAGGTGAGGATGGGGAGATCTTACACACACACACACACACACACACACACACACACACACTCTTGAAAAAAAAAACGATTTGCACATTGCAGTTAGATCATTTGTACTCCTTGTTTTACAACTTTAAAAAAAAAAGAAATTTTAAGCTATTTTTAACTTTTAAACAATTGACGGAATTCTGAAGTCAGTACTAATTTTATATCACACTGATCCCACTCACACACTCTATTTTGCCCACTGGTGCACAAACTGTTCACTAGACTGCAAAGTCTTCACACACTTGCATCCAAGGCAGCAAGCTGCACCATTCTGAAATAAACTGAACACAGTAGGAGCCAATTCTTAACTCTTCTCTCTCCCTCCAGCTACAGCATTAACCCCGTACCCCAGATCGTTAAACACAATCTCACAATGAGGGAAATCTTTCTGTAAAGATGTACCTTCCTTTTCTATTATTAAAAAGAATATTTAACATCCTGAGCTGAAGATGTGCCCTAGTTATTCCTCTATTAGAACCCATCATTGGTCACCACAGCTCATACCCTCCCCAATGTCTATCACCCAGCTACCCCATCCCTCCCACTCCCCAATCATCAGGCAAGAAATGCCCCATTTGCCTGGCCATCCACTTCTAAACTGAACTGTATCTCTCCTCATTCTCATCTTCTTTCCTCTTGTCGCAGAGAACCTAACGTTCGTTCCTTATTTCCAGAACTAACGCCGCACGTCCTCTTCTCTGCCTCCACCTGAGACTCCAAGGCAGCTGGCTGCTCCCTCCCAGGGGTCCTCAAGGGATGCTGTGTGCACTTTTGTGCATACAACGCACTTAGTTATCACTTCTCTCCATCTGTCTCTTGCACCCAGGAGACTGCAGCCTCCTCAAGGGCAGAGGCCATGACCCACTCATCTGCATACCCTTGCCACTCAAGAGGCATGCACTAAGGTAAGTAGAAGCCTCAACTGCACGGACAAGATTCCCCAGAACGATGAACAGAGTTTCAGAGATGAATGAAAGGTTCACATAATAACAGCTTATACCTGGTAGGTAGCAGGCTATTTTCTAAGAGTCTTGGTGTATCAATACGTTTAGTTCTTTTTTTTAATAATTTTTTTTATTGTTATGTTAACCACCATACATTACATCATTAGTTTTTGATGTAGTGTTCCATGATTCATTGTTTGTGCATAACACCCAGTGCTCCACGCAGAATGTGCCCTCTTTAATACCCATCACCAGGCTAACCCATCCCCCCACCCCCCTCCCCTCTAGAACCCTCAGTTTGTTTTTCAGAGTCCATCGTCTCTAATGGTTCGTCTTCAATACGTTTAGTTCTTAAAACAGCCCTATAAGCTGAAGAATACTATTCATTCCATTTAATGGATGAGAAAACTGAGGCACGGGACTGAGTAACTCGGGCAGATCACGGAGCCATGAGTGGCAGAGCCAGGGACACCCAGACAGTGTGGCTCCAGACTTAGTCATCATGCAGAACTGCCTGGCCTGCCGCACTGCCTCCTACACCTCTCACTTGGATACTTCTGGCAGGATTTAGAAATTCTACTTCAGTGCCCGTGCCGGGAGTTGGGTAAGGCCCGAGGGCGTCAGACGCCAAGGACTGTGAGAGTCCAGGGAAACCTGCTGGTATAAACTCCGAAGGACTCTGTGTCTGGGTTAGTTCTCTAACTACCTTCCCTTCTTTTTCTATGTCTCAGGAGCTAGCTTCCCTTTGCACACAATTAGGACCCATTGCTTTCCCTCTACCTTTCTATCACTGAGGGTTTCTAAAGATTTTTACTTCTAGCAGACATAAACAAAAACACTGACAAATCCAATCATCCCTCTAAATGAATTGATTCCCTGAGCTTTCTTAACCCTCTTTCTCTTTTTTCATGGGAAACTTCCTTCTCTCTCTTGCCAAAAACACCCTCAGTTTTAGAAGGCAAAAATAATGGAGCCTAAGGTAATATTCATCTACATTTCAGAGACAAACAGGCCAGTGTTCCTCCCTCTTCACACCACTGCAGGTGATCTGATACAGAGGCAGTGGCCCCCACACTGTCCACACCGAGCTCTCTCCGTGCAGGATTAATGGAAAACATGAGTCAGGAAGACTGCCTATCCTAGAATTTGAATGAGAAGAACACAACTCTGTGTAACAACTAAATGGAGAGAAAAACAATATTCTCTTATTGGCAACCTGACTAACATTCTTTCAGAGAAACTTCATTTCTTCTTTCATTAATTCATTAAGAACACACAATGCTTTTCAGAAAAATAAGACAGAAATATCATTTCTGTGTGCTGGCAATTTTGCTTTTCTCCTTTCGTTTTTGTATGTTCAACCTTTCCCTTTATCTCCATTTCCTCTCATTTCTCTATTTTTAAAAAAATTTACTGCACAAATCTTCCACCTTCAAATTCACCTCTACACAATCTCTCACTCCTGCCAATGCCCTCACTTTTTAATTGCATTTAATTCTCCAAACACCGAGGTTTTTTTTGTTTGTTTGGTAAACAAAGAAATCTCTCTTACGATGGCAAGGCATCTTTGATTTTTTTTTGGGAAATGTCATTGTAGAGAGCAATGGAAACCACCTCTTCCATGGGGCAAATGAGGCCATACTCCTCACAACCATTTTCAATGACCAGGGGATCAGACTTGTGAGGGTCAAACATGATGTTGTTGGGAGTAACAATCATGACGCCTCCGACCACCCCCTGTGGGAGAAAGGGACAGGACAGAATCACTACAGACAGAAATGCAACCACAAGCTGCTTTAATGAACTCATGTTGCCCTTCTGTTGACTCTGGGGAAGCATGGTCTCCTCCGTGACAACCGCGTCCCCTGTCAGAGGGCTAGGACAACCGGCTGCAGAAATGCGACGTTGGGTACTGTGTGGTGAGGCAGAGAAAACAGAGCTGCCTCGTTACTGCACTCAGCCGAGCCTAGTTCTGCCATAGTACAATTGTGGTCGGACCTTGGGTTGCAAGTCTATGTCTTACATGCCCCGGTTCCCTGTAAATGGGAGGGGCTGTCCCAAGTGCTTTCCCACTTGAGAACTGGGTGCCTTACAACTCACTCAGCACACGTTCACCACGTGTCCAACACGTGCATGGTACTGGGCTAAGGAAGCATCTGTCTCACAGCCATGGTGCCAAATGAGAGTCCTAACATTTTTCTCTGAAATGTTTAGAAAGGCCACATTCAGCAAAATTTGACACAATCAGGAATATGAAATTTCTGCAGCCAGAAATAAATACAACTAAACTGTGGAAGCTAATAGTAAAAAGCAGTAATTTGGTGGGCCCGTCTGTCTGAAGCTTGGCCGGTTTACGATTTTATAGATTTTATCTCAGAGATAGCAGGCCACAGAGGACTCCCTATAGGCAGACCATTTATCTTGGTACTCCTAATGAGTAACAGATCATCTTTGTGAAAAATTTTGCATTTCAAGCACTACTTATTCTTGGTTGCAAAAGTTATAAATGCATATTAATAATGTATTTTCCTACCACTTGGAATCTGGCATGAACTCTCCACTATGAACAACAGGAATTCACTTTATATCAACATAATCCTTTCTTCAGAGGCTCACTAAAAGTTGGATTTGCTTTGTAAACCACACCAAGAATCATAAAACTAACCATACAACATAATAGACATTATTTTTAATATCAGCATTTCCAGCAGCAAATGGGTTGAGAATTTCACATTTTCCAAGTTAGGTGCTAAGATCTTCACAGCTACCATCCCTTTTAATTACCACCCTCCTACAGATTAAATTTTATTATTGTTCCTATTTTATTTTTCATTTTTTAGAAGATTTTATTTATTTATTTGACAGAGAGAGACACAGCGAGAGGGAACACAAGCAGAGGGAGTGGGAGAGGGAGAAGCAGGCTTCCCGCCAAGCAGGGAGCCTGATGCGGGGCTCAATTCCAGGACCCTGGGATCATGACCTGAGCCGAAGGCAGACGCTTAACCACTGAGCCACCCAGGCGCCCCTATTGTTCCTATTTTATAGATGAGGAGAATGGAAGCTTAGGCAACTCCAATACCGTGCCTGTGGTCTCAGAGCTAGTGGGTAGCAGAACTGGATTTTAAATTCACCGAGTGTAACTCCAGCCCTTGCTGTCAAGCATGTACTATATTGGCTCCCTAGCAATGTACGGACCAAGAACTGAAAGAGAAGATGATAAATCCAAGGTCACAAAGAATCAATCGTATAATAAGTACAATGCCAGGCATCCAACAGGGGAAAACAAATGGATACTTATGAAATCTTATGATGCAACTTTGGGAAAGATATTTTAATGTCTCCTGTCTTGAGTAATTTGGAACCTACTTTAGTTTTCCATGGAGTCCAAGAAAAGGAAGCAAATTACACGGCCATATACCTTTCCATCGGTGAAGTATCGGCAATTCATTTTTAGAAATTTTACCACGCCTGGCTCATCTTCTTCAGAATTGGATGATAAGACTCTTTCAATGGGTTTTAAGGCCTTTCTTGCTAAATCGGCATCCTTTAAGAAAACAAAAATTCCCAAAATCAAATAGAAGCACTGTTTAAACAGATTATTTATATAAATCAAGGCACACAAGTTCCCTGTAAGGAACTGGTTTTTATTTAACTTGAACATGAAAAAAAGGCAAATATCCCTTGTCCTTCAAAAATTATCACAAATACAGTAAGTATCCAAAAAAAAAAAAGGTTTAAACAACAACAACACGTGCATATGTATGAAACTGTAAAAAAATGGCTCATCAAATGTTTTTAGAAAATAACCTAAATGAAGGAATTCATATTTGAAAAAAAATTCAAGTTCTCTAGAGAAAGGAGTGAAAGCCGTACAAATAAACGATCAGTCTCATTGAGAGTTTAACTTCATACTTTTACATAAACGAAGTGTGCATTTTTGCCTCTGAGACCTTAAATGTGAACAGGTTTCTTTTTGATAGGATGCATTCTCTCAACTAATGACAAATCCTTATCCCCACCCCTTTGGGGGAATTTCAGATGAAAACCTGTGAAAAACAACATGTAAAATTCTACAACTCAAAAAATATATTTGATAAATATGAACGTCAGCTCATGAGTGACATACATACAGGCAGTTTATCATATTCTGCATCTGATGATGAAGGAGAGACAGTAGCACCAGGACTGGATGATGATAATCTTAAGGTACTGGAAGGAAAGTTGGCATCTGGCACAAAAAGGACCTGCAAATGGGAAAGCAAAGCTGAGGATCAAGAGTCGGGCAGGCATACACTAGGCAGTGTTTAGAACAGTTGCTCTCTGCACAGTATCATGCCAAGTACATGGCTAAGGTGTAGTTGGCCTTTGCAAAACACCTAAGTACCTTGGGGCCTTCTAGACTAATCCATGAAACAATACTCTATAACAGAAATGTGTGCAGTGCAAAAGGTATGGGACATACGTACGGACACTGCAAGAGCTCACAGAAGAGAACAACGTGGGTGAGCACCCTGGGCACGTCATATACAGCACGTGGGTCCAAGTGCAACTTTGAGCAGTATGGGAGATTTAAACAGGGAGGAAAGAAGCTTCCAGGGAAGTGTACTAATGGTACAAGGGAGGAGAGGAGAGAGTGGCGTGGAATGCTTCTAAACATAACACCTGCGTCAGGAAGAAATGAAACAAATCCATGCTTGCTAACTCTAAGCCGGCTCTGAGTGCTAACTTAGTAAAATCATTGTATGTTAAGTGGTACAAGGTAATATCAATAACCTCAATACTTTCTCTTCTATCGCTGTCAGCTTATCAAAAAACAAGTATTAAAATCTCCCAAATTGACAAAATAGCCTCCTTCTGCAAAATGTATTGGTTCCTGAAATGTTATTATGATCTTGTCATTCAACACACTTATAATGAGACATGTGACATCCTGGCATATATCATAGACAGTCTTAAAATGATGACTTCTGCTGTTATAAAACATAATTAGCACTAATCATATAACAACTGTTCAACAGTGTTTGTTATTCACTCTTTCCCATCTTGTCTCTGTTTTAACTTTAGTTATTCAAATCTCTCTACAATCTAGAAAAAATGTGAGGCAACAACAAAAGACACCTTATGATAAAGGTAGGAAAACCAGTATCAAGGAGAAATAAGATGAGGACTAATTACTACTGAAACTATGTGCTCCAAAATTACCACTCATTGAGGGGTGAGCCATAAAACCGGTTCTGAGTTTCCAAAAACCAACGCAAAGGGATGGACATCATTAGTGAACAGAATTTAAAAACAAACCAGTTTCTCATAAGTATTTTCTCTGAAAGTCTCATAAAGAGTATCTCAAGCTGAACTACTTGTCTTTGATGACACAGGGACAATTAATACAATAACCGGTTTTGGAGGACCATTCTTTATAACATCTTCAATGTGGATCATTGGCCAAATGCCGACGTGTAGAGTTCCATAAGAGCAATTTAGAGCAGAGGCCTAAAATTATATGGTCTTGGTAGACAGCTCTCTTCCTTACCTTATATAGGGGGATGAATAGGTGACATTTCTTCCAAGCAATTCTCCATGAATATTTTTCTGTATCTGAGCTCTTGACAAGTGTTAGGCAACAGGGGTTAAGATTCTATTGTCTGGCCTGTTCTAAATGTCAAATCAAAGGGATAATTCTTGTGCTTACACAGTTCATTGCAGTGTAAATAGAGATGACCGATGGATGCTGGGAAGCTCAGTAAAAACACCTGCTCCCTCAACATGGATGTGAACCTGGAACACGGGCAGGGGTAAAGTTTACCTACTGACTTCAGAAAATAAAACTGGGTCTGCTCCAGGTAAATGGTAGATATGAGATCTTCACATTCTTTACCATAAAACAAACCTGTCATCATTTTAGCCTAGAAATTTTTCTAAGCATGTGTAGCCAAGGTACCAAGTGAATATAAAAACAACTTAAACCATGTCTCTGCAAGGTAACTTCTGAGTGTGCTCAAGATAAACTACTTGCAAAAGTACATTCTTTGTACATGTCCTGAAATTTGATGTAAGTATCCAAACTAATAGCCAAACTCAGGACCTGCTAAAAAAATTTTTATGCCTCAGTTATTTGTTTGTCTGCTATTGGTTTTGATCTTTTAAGCAAAAAAAAGTCTATAGTAAGATTTTATTTCAGTAAGTTACAACTTCCTCTGAAAATCGCCTCTTACATGTGGTCACTCACCCAGCCAGACCAGTTTCCTTTCCTACGTCATGGTGACCACCAAATCAGTCTCTAGAAGGGTGAGTCTCAAATTTTTTGGAATCAGAGCAGATAAAACCAGCTTTGAGTTATCAGATCTACTGAGATGAAAGGAATACCTACCTACCTTCCAGGCAGTAAGACAAAAAGTTATCTACAGTTTTTGAAAGCCCCTCAATTTCACTCTTCTTGATTTCTTATCTTTGTCAGCAAAATCCTGATTACAGCTGGGTCCTGGGACAGCCTACAGCACATAACTGTTTAGTTCTACGAGGGGCTAGACAGCATTGCAGAGGCTATCATAGAAAAGACACCAGGGATATTGTGGCCCACCCCCCAATTTCAGGGCTTAGAAAACTGAAGTCCAAAAAAGGAAGGGACTTGCCCATGTCTAACAGCTACCACAAGGCCAGTCGGAAACAAAGCTTTAGGGCTCCCATTTTGGGTATTTTTGCCATTAAAATCGGCATATTAAAACAGTCCTTTTGGGGTGCCTGGGTGGCTCAGTCATTAAGCGTCTGCCTTCAGCTCAAGATCCCAGAGTCCTGGGATCAAGCCCCGCATCGGGCTCCCTGTTCAGCACGGAGTCTGCTTCTCCCTCTCCCACTCCCTCTGCTTGTGTTCCCTCTCTCTCTGTGTCTCTCTCTGTCAAATAAATAAAATCTTTAAAAAAAATAAAAATAAATAAAAAATAAAACAGTCCTTTTACCTCCAGTTGGCTATTGGACCTTAACCTAGTACCGATATATTGTTTATGGACATAGTTAAAAAAATAAGAAATCACTCTAAATTATGTTCCTACACTCTAGTGACTATAGTCTTTAGCAAAAAAATAGTAAATACACACCTAGGTTCTCTGCCATGGGTCAGGGACATATTATGTAGCAATACTCCAGATTACAAGAAACCCCAGTTGATTTTCCTGGAGATAAATTTTTATTAATTTTTGAAGAGTTTTAATGCATATTTCCCCTCAGTTACCTGGTACTGGCAGTACGCTAATTTCTCTTTCTTTTTTTTTCCCATTTTATTTATTTGACAGAGAGACAGCAAGAGAGGGAACACAAGCAGGGGGAGTGGGAGAGGGAGAAGCAGGCTTCCCGCGGAGCAGGGAGCCCGATGTGGGGCTCGATCCCAGGACCCTGGGATCATGACCTGAGCCGAAGGCAGACGCTTAATGACTGAGCCACCCAGGTGCCCCGCTAATTTCTCCTTTTGACAAGAACATAAATACTAAACGCACCATAATACAGACTGGCCAACTTAGGGCCTGTTGGCTTCATATGGGGCCCTTGAATGAAATGCAAAAAACCATTTCAGCATTTCCTCAGTAAAATTGTACTTAAAGGTAGCAGTATCTATTCTGAAAGAATCATATGTCACTATCATGTACAGGGACAGAAAGATGCTCAAGTAAGTCAGCAATGAAACCCGAATGTGCTCATGGCTAGCAGATAGTTCTATGGAAAGGAGGGGAAACTTGGCCTCAGTCAGGACCTGCCAAAGACTGGGTCATATATATTTACTGGCTAAATGTAGTTTTAAAGTAGAAATACAAGAATATATTATTAAATATGTGGAAGGTACTGATAGAATTTGCTGGTTTAACTGACAGTGGCAAAATTACACAATTAGTCAATTTCATTCCGTTTAATAAAGTATTAAAAACCTGGGGAAAAAATCGAGTGGCTTTTTCTTGATAGTCCTACTGAATTTCTCAGCTTTTGGCTGACTGACCATTTTTCTCAGGTATCAAATCAAGACAAAAACAAAAGGATTCTGCCTTATTTATTTAGTTAGTTATTTTAAGTAGGCTCCATGCTCAGTGTGGAGCCCATCTCAGGGCTTGAACTCAAGACCCCTGAGATCAAGACCTGAGCTGAGATCAAGAGTTGGACGCTTAATTGACTGAGCCACCCCGGCGCCCCCAAATTCTGCCTAATTTAAAATCAAATGATGGCCATTTTGTATCCCAGGAGTAGAATAAACTGAAACTTGCACTTCTAAATGAAACATTCTAAGAACATTTGAGTTACATTCTACAGAAGAAAAGGTAAAATTTAACTTCTCTTGATGCTACGGGGAACACCCGCAACATAAACTAATGATAGTTAAACAGTTAAGTAAACTGTATTAATCATTTGCAAAGCATTCACCTCTGAACAGTTCCTCAGTTCCAGAATGCTTTTAGAATTCTTGATCTAAGGGAAAGATTGAACCAATGCACATTATCACCAATGTTAATCCTGTGACACTAACACTGAAGCATTAAAAATGGCATTAAAGATAAATGCAAAATTTCTAAAAAGTAATATCCAACAAGAAAAGAATTACCTGGCCTGGAACAATAGTGTGTGTGAAAAGTTTATTCAGTTCCACTAATTTATTGGGAGTGATGTTAAACTTCAGGGCTATGGAGTTTAGGGTGTCCTGGCTTCCAGCCTAGAATAATCAGACAAACAAGATTCAAAATATAAAGCAAAAACAAAAAACAAAAAAACCTTTTCAACATTCATCTATTTGTGATATGAGTGAATGAGAAGTAGTTCTATCCAGACATATTCTGAAAAAGAAAGTGGATACATTCTCAAGCCTTAATAAAACCATGGAAGAGTGAAGTCTTAAATCGGTTCATATCTGGGCTCCCTTGTCTTCAAATTTCAGTGTCCACTAATTAGATTTCTAAATCTGCTTTGGCACAGCTTAGCTGCATGAGTAGAAGTCCATGAGATACAATACAAAACTGTAAGTAGAAAAGAAATAAAACACAAACACCGTATAAAAGAAGTCAGGGGCTACTTTCTCTATTCTCAATGTTGTCTCTTGCCAGTCTCCTCACTGCTCTAAAGGCTCCTGGATGGTGACCTGTTAATGGCTGATTTCCCCAGTGTCAGCACAGTGCCCAACACACAGAAGGTACTCAAACATTTGACAAATGAATACAACGGAAGGCAAAGAAATCGGAAAGAAATTCAGATTAGCTACCCATCACTGTTCAGTCATTAAAATGACACCTTCTCATGGTCAGCCAAATTAATGTTGTCTAAATCTGTGAAACCTATGATACATGCCCAGGAGTAGGTCTCTCTCCTTCTCTAACAGAGGGGAAATGGGACCAAAGAGGGCAATGAGATGATGGGAAACTTCCCAAAAAAGTTTGCTGCCTCTGGGCGGGTCGATATCCCAAACTCCCTGTCTAGGGTCACTGGATGGCACTTGTAGTGGGAGGCCACTCCGGTGTGTGTCCCTAAGAAGTTCCCATCTACAGCCCTGGGTCAAGAACTATGGCTGTCCTGAAACACAAACTGGCTTCCCCAGGTAAGTCCCAAATGAGGCGGTGACAGGAGGTCGTGGACCAGTGAAGATGCAGAAGTAGAATGAAACTCACCACTGGTCTGAGCATCAAAAACCCCCCAACTAGATGAACAGTCTCAGACTAATCAAATTCATAGTTATAGATGACACCAAAATGACCTCAAAGCATTTCTGGAACAAGGTAGTATTTTTAAAAGGCACTGAAAAATTAACAACCTACTTCTACCATGGGCAAAACCAGCCTTACTAAAAGTAAAAAAATGTTTTAAAGCATGTATTGTTTATTCAATATTATATATTTACATAATATATTCAAAAAAAGGAGGTTTCAGGGTTAGGAGTGTACTTGTACTGACAAGACATGCTGAGAATGGAGATTAGAGCCAGACTGTTGGATCTGAATTGCGGATTTGCGACTCACTAGCTGTGTGACCTTGGGTCATTTGCTTAACTTCTCTACGTTTCAGTGTCTTCCTCCATCAAACAGATAATTATAATTCCTGCTTCACAGCACTCACTTCATGGCAAGTGATCAAAAAATTTGCTTCATATATTTCAGAAAAAACTTGTAGAATATACTGTTTAGGGAGTTTAGGGAAGGAGAAAAACATTAACAATCTGGAGTTATTACATAAGGATAAGACATAAATATAGAATCCAGCCACAGACCCTGGAACAGATACTGGAATCATTATATGTTTAAAACTAAACAGATGCCAAAAAAAAACACAAAAAACTAAATAGATGCTTGAACATCCACAGCTCTGGAGCAAAATAAGTAATCCAGTAAGTGCTAGCATGGTTCTCTAAACACAAAGTTATGAATCACCTTTTATTTCCAATGACAAGTACAAAAAATAACTTGCCAAGTAAAACTAATCTCCATAACCTATCAATCAAACAGGCAGGCATAGCTGCATTACTAATTTGATCACCTATTTCTATGAGTTAACATGGGGCTTGCTATTTACTCTCACTGCATCATTTAGTATATACTTTGTGAAGCATCTCCTAGCCAATACCACTTCTCATTTTTTTTGGAGGGGCTTGTGAATAATACTGCTGGATACATACATGGCTTTTGAGTCAATTTTTTTTTTAATGATAAATAATCCAACACTTCTTGAGTACCTACTAGGAGGTAAGGCACTGTGCGAGGTGTTATGGGGATCAAAAACATACTGTAGACCATGGTAAAGTGAAATAAAAAAAATTACCCCAAATCCCTTCTGGAAAGGACTAGTCCTATAACCCCCCAAAAAATGCCTGGAGATGTTCACAGAACACTGAGCACGAAATGCCTGTGCCAGGCTCTCCTGTGTGATTCTAGAAAGGCTTGGAGATCATTTACCATTCCAAAGGAAATGCCAGGGAAGGATCAGGTCTTGCTGTTTGCCTTATATAGAGGCTGGCACAGCATATGAACAATGAGTAGAAAATATATACACAGGAGAAAACCCAAACCAGGCAATGACAACAGCACTTAATTTCTTATTAGAAGTCAGAGAACACGCCTCAACAATGCTACTTCAAAGTGAATTAAAACAAATCTAGAACTGAGTGTTCACTTTGTAGCAGAGCTGGGATAAATGGACACAGCTCCTGGCCTCCAGGAGTTCATGCTGCAGGAGAGAGATGAGTACATGGCACATACTGTGAAGGTGCAGTATGGACACACGCATAGCATTATTCATCTACCGATTCAACAATATGGAAGCCTAAACCTGGCGAGCCCCAGAAATACAATGGTGACCAAAAAGGGGTCTTTCTCCATGGGTCCATGAATTAAGGCACAAGACAGACATTAAAATAACAATCACATTAGTGAATCACTAAACTGAGATAAATTATGTAAAGGAACATGAATCTATGAGAGAGTAAAATGGAGGGATCTGGCTGGACGGTCACAGGGGATAAGAATGAACATGGACAGTCATGGGAAGAAGATGTCAAGGACTGGGCACCTGGGGGGCTCAGTTGGTTGAGCCACTGCCTTCCGCTCAGGTCATGATCCTGGAGTCCCGGGATCGAGTCCCGCATCGGGCTCCCTGCTCAGCGGGGAGTCTGCTTCTCCCCCTGACCCTCTTACTCTCGTGCTCTCTATCTCTCATTCACTCTCTCTCAAATAAATAAATGAAATTTAAAAAAAAAAAAAAAAAAGAAGATGTCAAGGACAAAGTTCTGGCTTGCAGAGATGTGTGGCTGATGGAGCCATTGCTTCTGGGAAAAATACCAAGCCTGGAGGTCTAAATGGATATGACGAGTAGGCAAGTGAGTCTGGTTAGGGAACTCAGAAGGCATGGCTGGGATGAGACCTAAAGTTGGCCATCGCTGGCATATCAAAGGTAATTCAAGTCACAGTTTTACATGAGATTGCCCAGAGAGAAAATACGGAGGGAAGAGAAATGACCCAGAACATTTTTAAGAAGCTTCATTAGTTAATGGGCACACAAGAGGAATGCAGCTAAGAGGCAGGATGTGTCATGGGGAAACATCATGCAAATCCAGTGGTATTAACAAATGTTCATACCTCCTGTTTATACTTACAGTGTATTCCATAGTACCATGGGGCTTCTGAACCACCATCTTCTTCTCTTTTTTATCATGTGTTTTGTTTTGATTGTCATCTGAAGAATAAAATGTATATAAATGAATAATTTCATTTTCAGGGATCGAGGATAGGGTAATCTACAGTACATTAAAACCCACTTTCAGAATGCTTGGCTGGCTCAATCAGTAGAGCATGAGACTCTTGATCTCAGGGTTGTGAGTCCAAGCCCCACACTGTGTATAGAGATTACTTAAAAATAAAATCTTAAAGACACAACTAGAAAAGTGGACTAAAGGCACAAATAGACCATACTCTTAAAAAAGTACTATTCATCAATGAACACTTGAATAAATGATTTATGTTAACTATAATCAAATAGTACAAATAACAATGAGGTAATGTTTTATAGTTATTAAAGTAATGGTTTCAATGATAATATATAATGATGGAGTTAAAGTAATACTAATATAGTTATGATATACATGATTCCCAATGTCAATCAATACCACCTTTTTGTTTTCTCATTGAAGTGTAATTAAAATAATGTAGTTAATCAACAATTCTGTACATTCCTCAATGTTCACCATACAGTGTTATTACACTATTATTGCTTATATTCCCTATGTTGTACTTTTCATCCCCGTGACTTCTTTATCTTATAACTGGAAGTCTGTACCTCTTAATCCCCTTCACCTATTTCCCCCATCCTCCCTCCGCCTGCCCCTCTGGCAACCACCAATTTGTTCTCTGTATTTAAGAGTCTATTTTATTTATTCATTTGTTTTTTCAGATTCCACATATAAGTAGAATCATATGGTATTTTTTTCCCTCTCATTTATTTCACTTAGCATAATACTCTCTAGGTCTATCCATGTTGTCACAAATGGCAAGATTTCATTACTTTTTATGGCTGAATAATATTACACACACACACACACACTCACTCTCTCTCTACGGGGGTGTGTGTGTGTATATATATTATATATATGTGTGTGTGTGTATATATATGTCACAGCCACATCTTCTTTATCCATTCATCTATCAGTGGACACTTGGGTTGCTTCCATATCTTGGCTATTGTAAATAGTGCTACAATATATCTTTTTGATTTAGTGTTTTCATTTTCTTTGAGTAAACATTCAGTAGTGGAATTACTGTATCATCTGATATTTCTATTTTTAATTTTTTGAGGAAGCTCCATACTGTTTTCCACAGTGGTTGCACCAATTTATATTCCTACCAACGGGGCATAAGCCCGTTTAGAAAGTGATTTGTCAATATGCAACAATAGCCATAAAAATGTTCATTCTTTGATTCAGTAATCTTTCCCTTAGGGATTGTTATCCTAAGGAAAAATTCAAAAGAAGAAAACTGCCATATATCATAACATACGGTTCATGCAATCTTATTTATAATGCTGAAAATCTGGGAAGACCGAAATGCCCAACAACATATTGTAAGTTGGGCCATAGACTTTGTTGTTTTTGTAGGTCAAAACGGGTCAACCTAAGGTTTAGCAGCTGCATTATGATTCAAATTAATTCTCATGGTTAAGTACATCCTAACATAATCAGCCCAGATATTGAAAACCAGAGAGACATACTGCAATGGATAAAAATTTAAGTGACAAAAAATATAAAATTGAATTAACTATATGAAAAGATGCTCTAACTTGTATGTGATCAGAAAAATGCAAATTAAGACAAGGCATCATTTTCCAGCTATTAGCAAGGCAAAAATCAGAAAGTTGGGAAATTTTAGTGTTGGCAGAGATGTGAACTGCGAGTAGGAATGTAAGCTGGTATAGCCACTGCAGCGAATGAAATATACACAGCCCATATGACTCAGCAATCCAACAGACCTACATCCTCTCCCAAGAGGTGTATACTTTATATATATCATCAAGTCACTCGCTGGAGGATGTACCTAACAGCATCGTGGGTGACAGCAGGAAGCTGGAGGGTAAGCAAAATGTAGTAGATATGCTCTGGGATTCTAGCGAGGAATTAGAAATAACTAGCCAGAAGTATACACTTCAGCATGTTTACATCAAGAGAAAAAGAATGGGATGTACAGAACAATACCATGAGGTATATTTAAAATAGATGCACACAAAGCAACTACACATTTTTCAAGGTCACATCCAAATACAAGTCTACACACCGAACACAGTAGAATGTGTGCGGTAGAGAGAGAAATGGGATGTGGGGAATGAGGATACAAAGAAATTAATGAATAAGTAACAGGGAGCCCAGCTCTGACCAGTGATGATACACCATGAACTAAGAAGATTAGCTCAGCGCTCTACATCTGACGTCCTACAACCTCCCACACCCCACACTCGGATCAACAAGATCACTGCAACCACAGGACACGTAGGAGTGCAGTGAGAACCGGAAGGTAACACAGAAACATAAAAAGAGTTAATTCATGTGGTATTGATCTGCCTTTTAAATATTTCCTTTATATTAATATTAAAACCAAGAAAAAAGGAATAGATGCTGTCATTAGAGTCCCTTTCCAGTCATTTTTATGTTCAATCGGATCCATTCACAGAACCAAAGAGCCTCTGGAAATTCCTCCAGACTATAAAAAAAGTGACCTCGCTACCCTCAGGTGGCCACATCTAAATTACTTCAGGAAGAGGAGAAAAAAAATTTGAGATCTCCAGATCTCTAGATTCTGCTGATAGGGAGAATTTACACAGCCTGATGAAAAACCCAATCATAGTACTTTACAACGCTTATGATCTGGTATTCCATCCTTTTTTTTTTTAAATTTTACTTTATTATGTTATGTTTTATGTTAATCATACATCATTAGTTTATGATGCAGTCATCCACGATTCATTGTTTGCATATAACACCCAGTGCTCCATGCAGTACGTGCCTCCCTAATACCCATCACCGGGCAGCTCTACTCTCCGGGCCCTTCTCTTGTCACTACAAACAACTGTCACTGTAGGTGCTCTTGCTTTCCGAACAGGCTCTTCCCATCCTTTTGTAAGCGCTTCCCATCTGTGGCAGCGTCGGGTCCATGCCTGTCCATAAACTGTGCATGATTATTTCTGGGCCCAGTGGATCACTGTTACAAGCCACCAAACCATGAGTTTCCATACTGCTCAGCTGCAAAAGAAAAACAGGTGCTGGCTGACGCTCTCAGGATAAAGTTAACTTGTACGCCTGAATTAGTACAAAAATTACTTTTCCTTTGTCTCAGGTGGGTAGGCCAGAAATAAGTCAAACATGTAACATTATAAATAAAGGGGGAGAGAAAAGCCTTCCCTCCAGAATCTAAGATTTTGAAATTCTTGAGGTAAGGAGCATGATGTCTACCCATCTTTGGATGTCTTGTGCCTTAATATGACACCCGGTATGATCGAATGAACTTCCCAATCTAGGTCAATGAACCTGACAAGCCTGATTAGGGGCAACATCGTCACTGACAGAACATCACACCAGGAATATCATATGAACTTATCAAAGCCACAGGCCATTTTTACAACTGACTCAATACAGACAGCAAAACACCGGCTAATTCTAAGGACGTAATTCAATTGTCTTCATATCACAATAGCACAAGGTAGGACGCCTGGGTGGCTCCGTCGGTTAAGCGTCTGCCTTTGGCTCAGGTCACGATCCCAGGGTCTTCGGAACCAGTCCCGCATCTGGCTCCCTGCTCAGTGGGGAGTCTGCTTCTCCTTCTGCCCCTCACGCTGCTCATGCTCTCTCTCTCTCTCTCAAATAAATAAATCTTTCTCTTTTTATAATAGCACAAGGTAAAGCTCTCTCTCTCTCTCTCTTTTTTTTGCATTAAGTTTTAAAGATGGCCAGCAAGGTATCTCCATAAGTGAAGTCCTGCATACCTTACCTAGACAGGCTCTGCAGCACGTAGTCCATGAAGCACGGGAGAGGTTTCTGGCCCTGGAGAGAGCCGAGAAGAAACAGGAGCTGCCTTGGGCAAGGACTACTCTGCGGTGCCGCAGGATGGAGCTCCACCTCCAGTGTTCCAGGGGAGGGCCCATCACCATCTCCCAGGATGGAAGGATCTCCCAGTGATACTGACACCTTTACTTCCTGCTTCAGCCTCCTCGGACCCTTATATTTACACAAGGTCGGGCCCTCCCCCTGCTTAGGAGAACCTGGAGCAAATGAAGGAACAGTATCTCCTGCCGGAGGGGAAACTTGGCCAGATGGTCCTCAGAAGCCATTCAGAGCAAAGCAACTGAACCTCCTACCTGCCCCACCTCAGGAAAAAAAAAAAAACTCAGAGGCAGTTTCTTGCAGCCTAATAAGGAAGTAACTGTGACAAAAAAAAAAAAAACCCTAGAGGAGAGAAACGAAGGCCCCTTAGCCCAGCCCCTCTCATTTCTCATAAAGTCCTGGATGTGGGGGTACCGGTGTTGACCTTGACCCAGGTGGACCTGGTGCCTTGCCCCCACATCGTGCCTCCTCTCTTCCCACCCAGGGGAGGGCCGGGAGTGTCTGCAACACAAGGCTCTCGGCCAATGCGTCTGAGGAGATTCTAGACACACATTTCTTGAAAGAAGACTCCTCTCTGTCTGTGCACTGGGGCTAGACGAAGCTGATGTCCAGGGCCTACAGGGGCATGAAGGCTGGATGTGAAGGAATCCTTTGCAGTGGTGGTCTGTGAAGTCTTGGATGAGGTTACAACTGCCGCAGGAATACACTCTAAGAGGATCTGAGGTTTGAGGACCGACCCTAAGGAAAGCTTAGATGTGGGCAGTGAGGAGAAGGGTGGCTCCTGGGAGTGGGGAGTAAAAGGCTCAAAAAGTGAGTGCACGTGGAGAAAAGTTACAGGAAGACACCGCACTCACAGTGTCGGATGCCTCACAGAGGAGATACGAACGCCTACAAACGGATCCCTGGGAAGCCACACAGTTCCTGACATGAAAACCGGAAGGATCTCAACACAGATGGTGTTAACCTCCTCAGTAAAGTGGGGATAAGGCCTTTCGCTCAAGTGAAACGGGGTGGGGGGGGGAAGACAGGATTGGGAGCTTAAGGGATTGTGAAATTTGAATGAATTACTGAAGGGGGGGGGAAGGTTTCAAAA